GGTGGGTCTGCGCAAGCCTCGTGACGTTCAACAAGGCCAAGTGCAAGGTTCTGCACATGGGTCACAGCAATTGGGATGTGTGGAGAATGTATTGAGAGCAGCCCTACAGAGAAGGACTTGGAGGTGTTGGTTGATGACAAGCTCAACATGACCTGGCAATGTATTCTTGCAGCCAAGAAAGTCAACTGTATTCTGGGCTGCTTCAAGAGAAATGTGACCAGCAGGTCAAGGGAGTTGGTTCTCCCTCTCTACTCCACTCTCATGAGACCCCACCTGCAGTGCTGGGTCCAGCTCTGGGACCCCCAACATAAGAAGGACACGGAGCTGTTGGAGCGGGTCCAGAGGAGGCCATGAAGATGATCAGGGGGCTGGAGCAGCTCCTCTGTGAGGACAGGCTGGGAGAGTTGGGGTTTTCAGCCTAGAGAAGAGAAGGCTCCGGGGAGACCTTATAGTGGCCTTCCAGTATTTAAAGTACTTCCAGTACAGGAAAGATGGCAAGGACTCCTTCTCAGGGAGTGTAGTGATAGGATCAGGAGTAACGGATTTTATACCAAAAAAGTGTAGATTTAGATTAGATGTAAGGAACAAATTCTTCCCTGTGCGGGTGGTGAGGCGCTGGCCCAGGGTGCCCAGAGCAGCTGTGGGTGCCCCCTCCCTGGAAGGGTTCAAGGCCAGGTTGGACGGGGCTGGGAGCCCCCTGGGCTGGGGGAAGGGGGCCCTGCCCGGGGCAGGGGGGGTGGAACTAGGTGGTCTTTAAGGTCCCTTCCAACCCAAACCATTCTGTGATTCTTAGGTCCTTATAAACCATCACCACCTGCACATATTTAAGGCAAACAAAGTGCTTTGGAAATTACAGCATGTATTTCAACAGCTAGATAAAGTTCCTAGGGAGTCCCTTCATTTTTAAGGAAGTCAAGTTTATTTACTGATCCCAAAGGTCTTAAAATATTAAAATCATCTGAGAACAAAAGTCACCCTTAAAAGTTTTCTCTCTGCTTGAGAAGGAAGCACGAGCCAGCAGCCTGCTGTCCTGCAAGTATTTCTGCTGTCTGATTAAGAAGTGATCTTCAAAACTGAAGTCATGTATGCTTGTAGATTATATTCAGCACTTTATGTTCCTCTGAGCCACACCCTACAACTACCACCAATTATATGAAGTATGACGGTCTTTCTCAGTAAAACTTCCTTTGCTCCTGGTCTACTCCCTTACTTCTAGGGAAACAAGACATGTGCAAGAAGCTGGATGATAAATTCGTCAATCAGAATCTCTTCCCTCATTCCTAAATCAAACAGGATATATAAGATTATAACTCTGCTTTTGACACTTTTAGTACTAGAATGCAGAGAAGCTTCTCAAGAAGAACCATTAAAAAAAAAAAAAAAAAAAAGCAGCTACACATGATCCATGATCTTGAAACTACTCTGGTTTTCCCCTAGCTGTGAAACAGCACAAATTCCGTGCCAACAATACTGAGGTTCTTGTTTTTACTTTATCTTAAATCAGTTAAAACCTGAACATAAAAAGTGAATTTTGGCATATACCTTTGGGGAAGAAAAAAAAAAAAAAAGGTTGAAAATAAAACCTGAATCCACTTAGCTACTTCAGTCCTATTTTCTATGTAACTAAAACCTGTTTTCCCTAAGCTATTATGTCAGGATAGGCCTCAAGTAGTTGAATCAGTCAGGAGCTTCTATAACCATGATCAGGCCGTGTAAGAGACAGCAGTGCTTTAAGACAGAACTGTTCAATGAAACAAGCTTTATCTCAACAAAAAATGTCAAAACCGGATAATGAACGAGAGTCTCTTCCAGAGCAGCGTTTTCATCTCAACCCTTTCAGCCAAAGGCAACCACCACCCAGTACAATTAACAACCACAAGTCTTCCAACTCTCTTACTGTCGTTCTACCTTTCCTCACAAACACTCTTTAACAGAGTAATGCGTATCTCGTAACTAATGAGCTCTATTTTCTTAGACAATCCTGTAATAAGGACGTTGAAAAACCCCGTGTAAGAAGATCTGGTTTCTGCAGAAGGCACACGCAAATCAGATTAGACAGGGATTTATTGCTCAGGCTGCCAGCTCTGCTTTTTAATATTGCCCTTCTTAGATGCAGGCACTTACAGGGCCTTGACAGGATTCTTAGCGCCAGCTCAGGAGAGATTTTCCTTTGTACGAGTCTTCAATTTCATGTTCCCATACCAGACTGTTTTCCATGCACTTTGTTAACATTGACAGACTCCCGGAAAAATCCTGCCAAAGATTTCTAGCCCACTTTTTAAAAAGGATCATGGAACTCAGTCAGAACATGAAAATATTGTCAAACCCAAATAAAGGTACTTCAAATATTTCAGGGCATTCAAACTGCATAAGCTTTTTTTTTTTTTTTTTTTTTTCCCCCAGAGTAGACAAGCAATGAAGATTATTGACCACATTCAAACATTTGCTAACAAAATTAAGGCAAGGAAAGGGTCATTACAGCTGAGAAACACACCATTTACCCCATTAAGAAGTCCTGAGCTGTTTACAGCTCATTTTCTCAGGGAAACAACTTTTGGTTTAAGTGATTTGAATTCTCCCAAATCAAAACTAGCAGCACAATAACAAGTGTTTGCAACCTGCTTCTTTCTGCTCCCCACCAAAATCAGTTCAAGAAGAGCAAACAAACCCTACCTCCTCTTTGGTGAAGGTTTAGAACAGCAAGTCCACTTTGGAATACAAACAATCTCATTTGCTTAAATCAAACCACTTTGCTTTATACACAGGAGGTGAGAGATGTTAGAAGGTGCAAAGAATTAGCTTAATTTATGATCTGATTGGTCCACTCAGCTCAGCCTTCTACCACAGTAGCAGCACCAAAGGCATCCTCAGAATAAATTGTAAATAATTATGATAACGGTTTCCAGTTTGGAAAACATTCATACTACAATCCTATAATAGAATAACCACCACAGAGTAATTGCTTACATGCTTTTATCTCATTGTAAGCTCTTAACAGTGCAATGTAACCAAAGTGAGCCCAGAATCATCTCCCCAAAGGAGCAGCCAGCCAGAACACCTGCCCAGTACAACACACTAAAATACATAAAGGCAGGAATGGGACCCCACAGTTATTTTGGAGCTGACAGCTCTGTAAAACGAACCTGGATCTGTAGAAGCCCTGCAGGTTGGCGATGCTCATGCACAGCCCTGAGGCCTGCCTTATTCTTACCCCGGCAGACCAAATTCAAAACCAGGCAGCTTTGCTTCTTTCTCTGCCAAAGACGGCAAGGGCAGCTCCCCATCTCTGCTCTTGGCCCATCCTCAGCAACTTCAGCCAGCCTTCCCAAGCCGTGCTCCTGGGCACAATTACCCCTTCGGTCACCACCTTATGGCAGAGTAACCGGGCAAGAACGAGCAGCCGTGTCAGTGGTTTTGTTCCCCGGCCTTCCCCACACCTCCTGTGACAAGCTGCTGCTCCTGCGGGGAAAAAAAAAAAACCTCATCTTTTCTGCCGCAGAACCACTGGCATCCTCCCAAGCAGGGACTCCTCCTGGGTCTTTCTAGCTAACACCAGCCCCCCACTGTCACCCCAGAATCCAGTATTATCGGTTGCCTTCTCTCCTTGCCAAAGAGCATGACAAAACGCAGATGCAAATCTCTCAGTGACAGGCATGATTCTTTGTTTACTGCGTACGTCCATTTCAATAGGTCTTTTGATACAGAAAAAGAGACTTCTGAAATTCACTTATTTTTCTAAATGTCATTTTACATTCAGAATGGCAAAAACTACTTGTGAACGCTTAGCCATAAGAAAGCTTATTCAATTTGAATTCAAAGAGAGGTAACGCTGAGGTGCTCAGAACTAAGCTTCATCTATACCTAAAGCTTCACGCTTCATGAATGTGATGTACTATATGAACAAAAAAAAAATCCTGCACTCTTATCTCCATGCCCAGGAGCCAGAAGTGAGTGTCTCAGAGTGTAACTTATTCATACTCAGTGGTCATTCGGGCACCTCTACTGGTACTGGGCAGCTGTCATGGACAAGTGCACACACAGAGAACGTACGCCCTGTATTTAATCCTGGTAATACTGACTGCATCAAAACTATACAGTAAGCTTACTGTAACCAGTTTAGCAAATGCTGTGAAGAAGGTAGCATTATCGTTTCTCCACTGGACAGCCTGCTCAAGTGGACAGGAGAGATTTAGAACCGGAACTTGCATCAAATATCTTGTCTACAAGTTCCAGTCCTGACTTCCACTGACAATTCATAATTTTTCCTTTCTCTAAAACACATTTTCTATCCTATGCAGTGGAAAACATTTTAGGTTTCAAATCAGAAGTAGTACCAGTTTCATTAGTCATTTAAAATAAAGAGGAACTGTTGTAGACGATCAGCATAAAACACAGTTTATTTCCAATCATTTGCCTAGTTCACATGAAAACTGGTTTATATTAATAGAAGTAAACTGTGTTTAGAAACAGCCTGGTTAGCTTTTAACCTTGGCAGTACTGCAACACAGCTGAAGCTACATGGGTTAATATAATTTGTTTTTACATAGGGAAATGTGGTTAGACAGGTACTGAAGCCTTCAGAGACTCTCCACAAAGAAACACTTATCTATTCAGTAGCCTCTCTGCTGCACTCATCTCCACGAGGAATTTAACCTGTTAATCCCATATCTGAAGATCATATTTTTCAGAGCACAGCAGTCAGGAGAATGTACTTGGAAATACAACAAATATAAAAAGATAACTTAGGAACTAGCAAATAATACAAGATTACAGTAGTAGCTGAAGTATCCTCCCATACTATTTTGAACTAGAATACTGAAGCCTTAAGCAATTCCCACATTTTAGCACTGACACAGAGCTGCAATACACAAAGTACATAAGCAGGAGCAAAAGCCGCTTTGCAAGAGGTAGAAAAGGTTTTATAAAAATCTTTAGGCACAATTCTTAGCAATCTTTTAAAAGCCATCAGAAAGTTACAAAGTAATAATGACCATTCTACATGTATTTGTACAAGTCGGTTTATTTTATCCTTTAGAATAAAAGTATGTTTCATGCACTCACATAATCTTTTTCATCCTATATTGTTTGAAGACTATTTTTCTCACATATCACATGTGATTACAGAAGTTTTACAGGCTCTCAGGAAATCTTATCACCAGGAGTTATATAGCAAAACTGATGCACTATTATTTAACACTTTTCCGAGAAGAGCAAGGGAATGCAAACGCGTTTGCGTAGGTTCGTGTACCAAAGAACAGAGAAACACACAGTGAAAATCCATAAAAATATTATTAGTTCTTTTGGTTTACTCCCACCTCAATCAAGAAGAGGCTGCTTTTAGAAGTGAACTTTTTTTTCTTTTAAACACAAATTTCCACAAGTGTATGCTTTACATCGCAGCGGTTATACTCAAATTTTCACAATATCCACAAATCAAAATACCAGTATTACTACACTTACCATGGGCTAACAGACATTCACACATAAATCTTAGTGTCAGTTCAAAAAAGATGCCTTCTTTGAGCTAAAGTACGTAAGGCTTTACTGGTAACAAGTTCTTATTGAAGATTTGCTTTATTCATGTCACAGCATCTTTTTTTGCTCATTTTACTTTTTGTCTTGGTCTTTTTCTGCATCCAGAAGTGCTGAACGGATTCCTAGCTTCTTCAGCTCCTCTACGAGATCTCCGTTCTGATGCATCTGGAGGAGGATATCACAGCCACCAACGAATTCACCATTCAGGTATACTTGTGGGATGGTAGGCCAGTTAGAATAGTTTTTTATTCCTGCATAAGAAAAAAAAAAAAAAAAAAAAAGTATTAAAGGTTTTCCCCCCTCTCCAAACAGAATTGTATTTTAAAAAGATTATATTGCTTCCAGCTGACAGCACTACTGATATTTACATTTCTTTCTCACTGAGGCAAAAAGTTATATGGATAACAGGAGCACTATCAGAAAAACTACGTTCAAGTTAAGTTTGGTTCTCACTCCAACTCAAAGATGTGAGTTGAAAGATATGGAATCAGCTCCTATACTGACTTCAAATAGGAGCTGGGAAAATGTAGTGTTTCTGTTCCCTCCCAGGAAACATGCAAATAGGATTTTTCAATCAATTAAAGAAATGATAAGTATTGAAAAATACTGAGAACTGTTTACATTGTTATCCTTTATATTTCCCAAAGGGACTTTAAAATATTTTGTTCTTACTGAATTCATACAGTTATACTTACTATTGCAATTTCAACTGCGACATACATTTGCCCCTCTAGAAGCCTGAATATTAATTTCAAATTGCTTTATCTTTCATTGCCAGACCTCACGGCCCATGGGAGGGGCACAAAGGCTGAACTCTCTTTAAAAGTGTTCATTAACAAAACAGAGCTCGAGTCACGGTTACGAAGTACAGAATTAAAGTTTAAAAATATACTTCATAGAAGACAAATATAAGACCATCCAAAAATATTCACTGATCAGCTAGTATAAATTGAATCCCAACTTGCACTTAAAGACATCGCACAAAATTATACGGAAGAATCATTATGTGCAATTTGCCACTTTTTAAATGACCTTTCACACAAAGACATTACTTCTGTAGCAGAGCAAAAAGTTAAATTCTACATCTGAATGCTCTTACACAGAGTCCACCAGCACCTTTTTACATACCAAGTTTTGAATTCAACATTTTTATATATTTGTAATTTGCAATGACTGGAATTTTTCTACCAAAGACACAAAAAGCCCATATAGCAAATTTAAGCCTACAAACAACAGAGGTGCCTTTTCAGATCATTAGAGACCATTCACCTTGGAAGTCAACCCTCTGAACAAGGATGTGCAAGCTTTGGCTGACTGAAGTACTAGCAGCAGGTATTAGACCTGTATAGCAGAAAACACAAGGGAATTTGCTTTCCCTTTAGAAAACATTTTAAACTCTAAAGACTGTAAACTACAAAATATTTGAGGTAAAAAAAAAAAAAAAACATAAACAAATTATGCTTACTTGATTGGAAGTTAAAACACTTTATTTTTTAATAAATATGCTTAAGTGCATATTTTTTAATAAATATGCTTAAGTGCATAAATGCTCAATGGGATTATGATTTTAACACGCATAAATGTTTAAATAGAGCTAATAATTCCCCTTAGTCAAATACCATTGTGTTTTTAAAAATCCACTAAAATAATAGTCACCTAGAAAAAAAAAAAATAATTTGTGACAAGGTGTTCCTAACCATGAAGTACGACATCAGCCAGGAGATTTTATTTTGACTTCAGATTTTGTGCATGGACAACTGTGCTCGCTGCACTCGAGATGCACTTCTGTGAAGGATCCTTCAGCAGCACAGACACCCCAAGGGATCTCCTTCCCACTCCCCGCAGGGCAATGCTTCAGAAGCTGCAGCTTCTGCTTTCAAGCACTGTTTGCTTTGTAAAACCACACTCCACAGATCAGGTTTACAATTTGACAGCTGAGCTAACACGCTTTAAGGTGGCTGTGAAAGCCAAATCGGCGCAAACTGCTACTGAAAGGGGTGCCCAGTGCTCTCCCACCCCGCTTCCAGTTACCAATTGTCTGCCCCTCTCTCACCAGCACTAATCAATGACGGGCCACATCAGAGAACTGACTCAAGCAACCACTCTCACTCCTACCACACTTTCTCCAGAAAAGCAACACATTTTCATGGAGATCTTTAGCACTGGTACAAGCAGGACTGAGGAAAAGCTAGCCCGAGGGTGAGAAGAAGGATCAAGACCACCCTTACTTAGGTAACGTAAAGCAGCAGTGAAAATAATTTGAGAGTGAACAACCACAACAGCTTAAACCACCACTTTTCCAGTATATAATCCCAAACTTCTCTGCCACCTTAGTGGCCTGAACCAGCCTAATGCTGGGCATCTGCCGAGAGCAGGATCACTTGTGGTACAGCCAATTTAAAGAAACTTGAATAGCCATTGAACCGCAGCAGGTCTCTTAAACAAGCTTTAATAACGAAGTATCTGTGTCAGGGAAGCATATCCTCAAGGTCAAGTTCAGATAAATCACATGAAGTACCAATAACTATTTAGTTTCACAGATCTGAGCATGCCTGTAGGTGAAGAGGCAAGTAGGGGGAGCTGTCTGGGTTTTACAGCTTGCCACATTTTAGTGCAGGGCAAGTTTCAGCCGTTGAACTGTAAGAACCTGAAAATAAGGTGTTTCAACAGATTCAGCAAAGAAACCAACCAGCACTTCAAACATGCCTGAACCACCATCTCTGCAAGCAGCAAGCTCTTACTACAGATGGCAGAAGCGTACATATATGCAAACATTTAAGTTACGTTCAGCTGAATACGAAGCTGGTGACCAGCTGACATACAGTAATCTTGCAGATTAATCTTGAGTTGGACAGATGTATTCGGTATTTTCACAGCTAAAGGCTCAGCATCCCCTCGCTAACCCCACATGCATGCAGTGCAGATTGTTCACAGAGAGGGCTTAGCAAAGCATCACATGCTGCACCTCTTAACTTCTCAGCACGCAAGAGCAGCTCCCAGAGGAGACTACAGGGGCCTTCAGGCAGCCACCACGGAATGACACTTGGCATCTTACAGAGCTACAGCTTCCAGCAGCCCTGCCCTCTCCTCTGACAGAGACCGCTATCCACAGAAGCAGGCACTTACTGGCTTTTTAGGGTGCAGTAGGTGACACAGTTGAAGCAATACGACAGCCCACTGGCTTTGAAAGCAGCACTGTCATTCCACAACTCTTCACTTCAAGGCTCCGTACCTTGTGCTGGCTCCAGCACTCACCTCACAGCACAACAAGCTAGTTCAACCCGCACACCCAGTGATCCAGTTAATAAATCGAGCTGGCTCCCCATGCAGTCAGACAAGTGCCAAAGCTGGTTCATGGAAGGGAACAGAACAACTTTAAGGACCTGAGAACTAGCAGAATATTGTGCAAATGTAAGCTCTGTTACTGCATTCAGCGCTGTTTAGCCAAACAGTCTGGATTAAACAACTAACTTCAATTTAAAGCTCAGGTAGCCGAGAGGGTGATAACCTCTTGGATCACATAGCACAAGCCAGAGTTCACGTGGGGGAAACATTTGTTTTGCTCAGAAGGGAGATGTTCCTGTCACATAGGAAGAAAATACTGTATCTTGACATAGTCAGGACCCCAGAGATTGTAAGTGACAAATGCACTGCCTGTTCAAGGGCTCACAAGAGCCCTCTCAACCACAAGTGAAATGCTGATGCTCTGATTTCAAGGTTTTTGTTTCCTCCATTTTAGTTTACAAGTTTGTTCTAGTAAACCATAAGATTCGTGAATTTAGATATGTAAATAAAGTTTAGAAAACTACCATGTTTTGCTCACCTGCTACTTGCAGTAGAAGATTTACTTGAACAAAACCAACATTCCTTAACAAAAAATGTCATCACACTCAAGCTCCAATATTGAAGTTTTTATACCATACCAACTACTATACCTGAGAATTGAAAAGTGATCAACAACTGGAAAAATCAGCTTTTCGGCTAAATTCTAATGAAAAACTGAATCAGTCAGATGATACCAAAAACACAGGACAAGGAAGTCACCTGATACATGCCAGCATGTGGCTTTAAAGCACATTTTAGTGTATTCCAGACAAGAACTGTTAATGCCATACACCTGCAAGACAAATTATTACATACTTTTATCTTTGTTTGTTTGTTTGTTTTAAAACTTTCTCAAATAACGACATAAAACTTTAACCATCAGCTATGCACATCGAAAAGAGGAACAAAAGCATTATAAGAGTACTAGCTTTCTACAACTGGGAAAAAACCTTATACAGAATAGCTCCTACCACTCAAGCAGTAATGGTGAAACTATCAGTAAATATGTCTTGTGCAAGCGATTAGCATCGTTTTGTACTTTACCAAAAGAACCCGAGCAGGCAGTGCCATCAGGGAATACAGTGGCACAAGTCCAAGCCGTTCATTAAGTTTCACCATACTGTTCATGGGGAACAGGGAAATCCAACTAGGTAATGATGTATCTTAGGGGTGTTTTAATGCAGCTTTGCATTTCTTAATTAGGCAAGGCACTGTGGCACAAAAAGCCTGATCTGCAGGAGTTACCCCATAAGTTAACTGCCTTCTGCTGATAAGCAGGCCGCTCTGGGACACAGTGAGGGTTACAGAAACCAAACAGGGACTCCAGGCAAAGTAACCTCAATATCGCACCTCTGCGATAGCGCTTCAAATCCCACAAACCTCCCAAACCCCGGGACGTAGTCCTGCTTCTGAAACAGGGGGAAGAGGGGGAAGAGGGGGAAGAGGGGGAAGAGGGGGAAGAGGGGGAAGAGGGGGAAGAGGGGGAAGAGGGGGAAGAGGGGGAAGAGGGGGAAGAGGGGGAAGAGGGGGAAGAGGGGGAAGAGGGGGAAGAGGGGGAAGAGGGGGAAGAGGGGGAAGAGGGGGAAGAGGGGGAAGAAAAAGCGAATTACGTCTGCGAGAAGCGGCGGGGCGGGCTGGTCCGCGGCCTCCCCCCCCCCCACGCAGGCCGGAGCCTCCCGAGGGCCGTTCCCTGAGGGAAACCGGTACCTCGGGGGTCTGGCCCTGCCCCCAAACTGCGGCGCCTCACAGAGAGAAGCCCGGGGCCGGCTGCGGCTGTGTGCAAGGCCCAGCCGGGGGGGGGGGGGGGGGGGGGGGGGTCGGCGCCTAGAGGTGTCCCCTGTCAAGCCGCCCGTCCCGTCCCGTCCCGTCCCGCCGCTGACCTTGGCGGAGGTCGGGGTCCTGCAGGACGTCGTGGGCGCGGTAGTCCTCCACGCCGTGCAGGCGCAGGATCTGCACGACGGCGTTGCTGAAGCCGCAGAGGGGCTGCGCCGGGCTGCCCTTCATGAACACCACCACCGGGTGCTCCCGCACCAGCCGCTCCACCGCCTCCCGCGACCCGGACCCCGACCCGGCCCCGGCCCCGCCGTCCTGACCGCCGGTGGCCGCCTGGCTCAGCGCGCGCCCGGCCCGGCCCCGCGCGGCGGCTCCCACCCGCCAGGCCGCTCGCGCCACCCCGCTCATGCTGCCCCGCTCCGCTCCCGCTACCGGACCCCCGCCGCGCTCCACCGCCCTCAGCCCGGCGCCCGCCGCCTATTGGCGGAGCTTCTCCTCCGCATAGGCGCACTCATCCGCCAATCAATCCCGGCAGCCAGTTAGCACCAAGCTACAACCATCGTTTACCCCACCCAGCAACCCTCGGGCTGCCTTGCTTTCCTATTTGCGGAGGGAGCTGCGCCGCTGCAGTGGCATTGGGAGGAGGCCTGTCAATCTAACTCGATCGGGTTAATCCCCGCCCTCCCCGCGGACGCGATTGGTCGATCTTCCCCGGTGCGATGTTGTGTTCGGGAAGCCCCGGGGGCGGGGCGGGGCGCGTGCGCTTAGCGTGAGGTTCTTTCCGCTTCCGGGGAGCGGCCGCTCGGCGGGCGGGGAAGCAATGGCCGCGCTTGCTCTTCTGCTCCTCGCTGTGGGACGCGGAGCCGAGCGCTTCCCCCTCTGTCCTCACCGCCGCTTCCATGGCGTGGCCGGGGCGCAGGCCGAGCAGGGCCCGGGGGCCTTCGCGGAGCCGTGAGGGCGGTGCGCTGGGGGGAGGCTGTGGTGGAGGCGCGGGGTGTGCTGACAACCGCCTGCCCCCCCCCCCCCCCTCCGGGGTGAGGTTTGGGTTTGATCCCGCCGGCTCCTCGGTGGTGCGGGCTGGGGGCGAACCGGGAGCCACAGCTCTGGTAACGGCTGCTCGAAACCCGGGGAGAACCGGGCTGCGGGGGGCGGTGCATCGGCTGCCTGCGCTGAGGGAAACCCTGCGGTGCTGAAGCGTGTTCGGGGGTGCGAGTTGCAGCGGTTGGGAGCGTGTCCTCAGGGGGTCAGAGCCGTTCAGCCGGCACGTTTTGTCACTGGGGGCAGGCAGGGCGTGCTGGTAGCTTTGCGTCTGTCCTCACTGCCTCCACTTGCTCGGGTTTGGTTGATTTTTTATTTTTTTTTTTTTTTTTTTAATGGGGCGAAGCAGGAGGTTTGTGTCACCGAGAAACTAGCAGTTCTTGGCATGCTTTGCTTCGGAGCTGGGAGAGGAGACCCGAGGAACCGGTAGCTTTTGGCACGGCTTGGTCTGTCACTGGAGCTGCGAGGGGGGGGAGCGGCTGCAAGATGGAGCGGCGGGAGGATGATGAGGCTGGCTGGCTGCGTGTGCGGGAGAGCTGGTTCAGCTGGTGCTGGAAGATGCGCAGAGCTGCCCAGCATCAGCCAGGGAAGCGTGGAATTTGGAAGATGTCCTGTAAGCAGCCATGTGCGCAGCCAGCTTTGAGCTCCTGGGCAGGCACCCGTTTCTTTCCAAGAACTTGGAGCGGGGCGTGGAGGTCTCGTACAGCAGCTGGGTCCATCCTGTAAGTAGAAGAAAATATTGAAAAGTTTTCCTCTCCAGTAAACCATGGTCTCTCAAGTAGCAAAGTGTGTTCCTGAGTATTAATTTACATTGCAGCTCTAGCATCTGGACTTTTGGTATATTAATAATCTTTTGTATTATTTGCATTTGTAGGGAAAATAATTTTTTTCCGTCCAGTTCTACTCATGTGAGAGCTTTACAAATAAGACCAGCTTGTCTTCAGCATTCAGAAGACGGTTTGCTAGTTCTTGATTTTTTTGGAATCCAGCTGATGCTTGAGTGACATCTTCTTTCTCATTTTCTATGAAACTGCCTTCAGGTGTCACTTCTGTTCCCTTTTATTTAAATTCAATTAGAACACATTCCAAAGGGAATTGTGGCAAACTTGCAGTTTGTCATCCCATATGAATAGTTTATGAATAAAAAGTGTTGCTGCAGTGCTTGAAAGTATATATATTTATGAAGAAATACTCTCTGTTATGAATCTAAAGGCAAAGTTCACAAATTGTATTGTTGATGAACATTGTGCGTTTTATGTGTCAGTACACTTTGTCAGAAGCCAGGTACAGTCATGCTGATGAAGACACAAAAGTTACTGCTTTCTGTGGTTTACGTGTTGCGATTAATGTGGTGCAGGGTTGTGCGATATGAAAAAAAAAAAAAGAATCCTAGTATCCAGTTCATGCTAGATAAAACTTCAGTAAATTCTACAATGCAAAAGTATGTTTTCAATTTGTTGAACTGGTACAATATACAGAGACAGAGGTTTAACAGGTGTTAAGTGTAGTAGCCCAAGTGGTCTAGTTTGTCATTTTAATCTATCAGAAAGGCTCCTGCCACTTTAAGATCCTGGGGGGTTAGAGGGGAATCACATGCAAATTGAGTAAAAAGAAAGAAGCCTTTCTATTCTTAAAGGCAACTAAATGTCATCTTTCAAAAAAATGTTGGGCTGTGAATGGAACTTTGTAGTATTTGCCTTCCTGAATTTCATTTTAACTATTTCTACAAGGAGATGGTTCATTAGACATTACAAATGAAATAAAGACGTCAACCTGAAGTGTACCAAGCCCTTGTGAGGATATGCTCCTTCTGGAAGGAAGCTACAGTTGTAGTTTAATCCTCTGTAGTCCAAGAGATGCCCTTGGTTGGTAGTACTCTGGGCAGACCAGGCTTGCAGAGAGAGCACCTGTGTGAGGAAGCCGAGGCATGCCTGTAAGAGTCGCAGCAGCAACATGCGCAATATTCCTCTAACAGTTACGATTCTGTTGCCACGGAGATAATGACTTATCCCATGTCATTATCGATCTATCAACAGTAAGAGCAATTTTGCAGTCTGATATTGTTTAGCAAATAGAGTAACATCTGCTGAACACTGAAAAACTGCTATAAATGTTATGAAGCTTCTCTGAAGTCTGTGTATTGTGTTAAATAAAAGTACCTGAATTCATTGTTGCTCGCTATAGTTTTGTGAGATTGGCCTGTGAGGTAATATTAAGTTTAACAGAATGCTTTTTAATATTTAGTATGGTCAGATGGTTTTGGATTGTGCAATATGCAGCACGCTCTTAGTGGATAAACACTTTTCCCTACTGATAGAACAATTAGCCCATGTATGCTCTAGAAGCTAAGAGATAATTATTTGTTATCTGGTCCAGCCTTCTATCAGTCTAAGTGAAACTTCTTGTATTTTCCAGATAATGATTTAAATCATCTGTTGAGAAGAAATATTAATGGGACTCCCATAAGACTCCTGACATTTTGCTGATGTTCCTGTTAGAAGACCTATCACCTCATTTTGAAAACAGTAATAAAAGCACCAGTATTCAAACTGCAGGGCTTAAATGCTAACAGTCAAAAATTAGGTTACTTCCAGGCATTCTGCTGCTGAACAGAATTGCTCGTTATGAATTGGTGGTTTGAGGTCCTTATATATTGCACAAGAAGGTAGATATTTAAGAATGATACTGTCAACAGAAAGTTGTTTGTTAGTTTTGTTTTTAAAAGGGGAAGGGGTAAATTATCTGGTGAGAAAGATCAGAAGAAAAGTCTCATTTCAGCTTATCAGAACAGGACACCTCTTCGTGTCCAGGTCAGATACCTGTGTGTCTTTCTGACTTGTGATAGTGCCTTGAAACGAAGTCCCTTATCACACTTTAACAATTGAGCGCTACTTAGGTGGTTTTGTTGTATCTTGAAGCTTTTTAGTGGGATGGCTTGAGCTCCAGCTGTTCTGCATGCCTGGTAAATAATTTCAGCATACCATCAAAGCAACATCTGGCAGCACCAGCATATCCTCAGTTTTGAGAATATTAAGAATGCTTAAAATGTACCTACAGTTCTGGACTGCACAGTTGAAGTTTGTGTGGGATGCCTAAATTGTGAACGCTGAAGAAATGTTTGTGAAAAGTTCCTGGTTATTTTAAAGATGTGCTAATTTGTAAAAGTTGTGCAACAAGTAGCAGAAATGTGGAAGTGCCATGGGAGTTTTACTGGTGTAGAAACTGAGGTCTTACGGGACATTGACATTTTGGAGTCTGAACTGTATTTTAACTTCCTGGTTTGGATCTAATCTGGAGACCCATAAGCAAGTTTGTTTCTGAACAAGATGGATAATTACATAATATTTATGGATTTATAGTGTATTCTCAAGAGGATATTTGTGTTAGCTTTAAAATACAACAGTCCATAAATGACCTGAGCCAGTTTAACTGATGGGTGTTCTACATGATCTAAGGCAGTTTTTTTACTTAGATCATGTAAGGACGCCTTTGGCAGAGAGAGGCCATGCTAGTAATCAAAAGAAAAATGTTTGATTCCTACCATTAACAAATAGAATGGAAGATCGTGTTCAGTCTGGAGTGTGGACCTTTAAACAAGACACTCTAGACTTCAAATTTGCTTCTCAGTGCCACAGACCTCGATATATGCCTCTTTGCAGTAACACTGTGAATTGTGAAGCTGTCCTGGAGCAAGAACGTGTAGTATGACCCTTGTAATAGAGGAGTAGAATTGTTCTTTGGGATACGCAAGCTTCTTGCAGGTAGTCTTCCTTGCTAGAGTCTGTTAGATCTTTGTTCCTTATTTGCAGGTGGTAGTGGTGCTTGAGTCTTTCAGTGCTACAGAGGAAGCGTACTTTTATATACATCTAACATCTCTGCAAGGCTAAGAAATGTGACCTCTCATGAGAACACCTCTTGCCTCTTTTCACCCATGAGTTATGAATGCCAGAATGTTTTATGGGCCTGAAAAAAAAGACTGGGCAAACTCAAGAACGTAGAGTTGATCTGCAAAATACAAAGATTACTTCGTATTCCTGTTACTGGAACAAGTATTGGGCCGTAGAAAGCTAGGGACGTGTTCTTTGTTTCCTGTGCAGGTGCTCTTGACGAGCTGTGCAGAAGCAGGGTCGTGGGCTCCGAGTTTGATTTAACCGGGTGTGGTCAATGCGTACACGTCGTAATTTACTTAAAATGCTGGGGACCTCGTGCCCGTGGGAAGACCAAAGGGCCCCCTGCGCCTGCGCGGGGGGGGGGGGGGGGGTCCCGTGGAGCGGCCGTGGGCGGCGCTGAGGCCTGACCGCCAGGGGGCGCCGCCGCCTCCGCCCGAAATGGCGGGCGGGCGTGAGGGGGCTGGCGGGGCCTCCCTGAGCGGCCCCCTCTCTGCTGGCGCTCCGCGGCTGAATTCCCGTAGCTCTTCTCTGTACGGTTAAAGAACCTCAGATTTTACAGTAAGGTATTCTTCCGTGTCATTCGAGAAATGCATCTCGCGTTACCGAAGCTTGCCTCAGCACCGGCCGTTTGATCTCTGCTGGGGCAGAAGGCAGACAGTACCGAGCGTTGTGTCATCACAAATACACCTCAGCTCTAGGAGATATTTCTCCAAGCAAAAATATATGAGAGTTTTGCACACATTATTGTATTTGTAAAGTAGATGGAATTGTTATGGAGAATCTTAATTAAAATTTTTTAAATCTTAGTATTTTTAAACTTGGTACTATAATAGCTCAATAAAGATTTAACTTTTTTCATCACTCGCCCTTTAGTCTTCCATTTTCTTTTTTTCTAGGAACATGTGTACACGTTTTAACACAGTTTTAAGATCTCATAACGTTCCTTTGAAGAGGAGCTATACTCTAGCCAGTGCTGTGACCCCAAATCACAGGAATTGCTGTTCCTTGATCTTTGCTTGACAAATCTGTATTAAAGTAATTCTGGGGAGCCAGGAAGCTTTTTGTTAAAACGTTAGCCTTCAGTTGCTAGTGTTAACAATGTACTTTCATATCAGATGTAATATAAATAAGCTCAATACTGTCAAAATGTTGAGGGTAATTCTCAGCTATATACTACATGTTTGTGGAAGTACAGAAGTGATACTTTAAAGCAGGGATGAAGAAGAGTTTAAGCAAATAACTAATCTAGAATTAATCATTGTAATCAGTGATACTTGTCGTAAAAAGATGTTCCTAGTCCTATTATTACATAAAGTGTTGTGCAGAATAAAATGACCCTCATCATAGTTGCTTACATATTTTCATATGGATTGAAGCTGTCGAGTTTTTATGACAATCGGAGTTGTTTTAACTAAAATTTCCCACAGGAGTTGCACAATGCTTTATGCTCCACTAAAGAGCGCATGAATTTGGATGAGACAGATGTAAAGTGTGATGCCTCTCAGAAGACAGCTGTGTTGGGGAATTTGAGGCCTTGAAACTTTACTGAGAACTGATCTTTGACAGGAATGTGCATGGAAATCTGCCCATGTTTGGCTGGGATAAGAGGTTCTGCAAACTCTTGTACACGTACAAATCAAACTGAGCTAAAAATCTGTTGGGTTTTCTTCCCCCACTGTATGTGACACTGTCCCTGTATGTGTCAGTTTTTGTGGGCTGGACTAGAGTCTGTTTCCAGTAATGAAAGTAAGGAGATGGTGTACAAAGGTGTGGGAAGCTGGGACGCAGGCAGAGGGGAACTGTACTTCTCATCTGATGCAGATGACTACAGTATCAAGGAACACTAGGAGTACGGAAGCGAGAGGGAATCAGACTGACCAGGTACATGAGTAGGGCTGTAGCAACTAGATCTGATGGTAGAAACAGCAGAAATTGCTAAGGCGCTGCTGGATAAAATTAGGAATAGAAGAGTTCTGGGTAAAAAAAAAAAAAAAATAAATTTGGCTCTGCCATGAACAAGATGGAGGGGGATACAACTGAAAGGGCCAAAGTTGAGTGGCGCATGCAAAACAGGCTTTCCCAGGAGCACAGAAATGAAACCTCAAAGCTTTTAGGTGAGAATCTAGTGGCAGCATGTCTTAGCCTTTTGTGCTACTGGTCACCTTAGTGACCACTTATGGTGCCAAGTAACCAGCTTGTGATCTTTCAGTCCCTCCCTGCACAAGTTACCAGAGTCGCATTCTGACCCAACGTGGTTTGTACAAGGATCAATGCGAATTTGCATTCTGAAGATATTTGTTGATTGAATTCTAATGAAATAAGCATGGGTACAAGTTGTTAAAGGAATGCGCTTAAAGTTGCAAAATCAGATACTGAAAAAATGTTAGATTTAGGCTGAACAACTTTCAAAAACATGGGAGGTCAAAACAAGGTTTTCATTATAAAATGACATCTTTTTTCCACAGAAACCCTGCGTATCCAATGCATAGGCATTGGTTTTCTTGGTGTGCCCTGAGGTTCAAACAAAGGAAGGCTGTTTCTAGATCAAAGTCTTTAATATGCTGTCCTTAGCTGGATGTTATTTTAATCTCTACTATGGAGATAAACCTGGAAAATTGTTTAAAGCACAGTCTTCAACCGTGCTCTCTGCCGGTGTTTCTGTTTGAGTGTTCATGCTGATGTAGTTTGAAGGCTGATTTGGAAAAGTTCTTGGCCTTTGCCGTTATAATTAAAACCAATAAAGCAGAGAGTACGTGGAGTTGGAAAATACGAAGTACTGCAAAAACTTGTGAAAAGTTAGGTGTCTTAAGCTGGGTTTCTGAAATCAATGGTTCCTTTGGACTTGATTTGTTTTAAAATCCCTGCCTGCTAACTACAGATGCTGATGTTGCAGGTAAATTGTGAGCTCCTGTATGTTAGGCTCTCTGAAAAAGGAGTATTTTGGATCACTTGGTTTTCAGAGGAGTTTTTGTCTGATATGAAGAAGATTAGACTGAAAGTACTAACAAAAAATTTAAATGGGAGAGGAGGATTGTGTGTTGGCATACTTGCTTTTGTGATATATGGACTAAAAGTTCAAGAACAGACTCCAAAGTATCTCTTGGGAGGTAAAAAAGCAAGTTCTTAAAGGGGAGGCCAGAAACTTGAGTTTTTAGATCTCTATATTTTGTTTATTAAAAAAAAAACCCAAACCCTCAACTAAAACATAACCACTTGTAAACCCAGAAATATCAAGATGAGGGAAGTTGGGGGGGGGGTTGATATTCTAAAGTTTTTTTTTCTCTCCTTTTTTTGACATATGAAAACCTGTATCTCTTGAAAATCTGACTAAGAACAGGCGAACCAGTTGAGAGAGCACTGTCAAGTGACCTGTATAGATACTGTGATTGTCTTGATTCTGACTTCACACACTGTTTTTAATGCTCATAACTGCATGACACAAACATACAGGTTTGTTTGGTGTGATTATTAACCACACACTTTTAGAAGGCAAAAAGTTCTTTCACAGAATAAGCAGCTTCTCCACAAATAGAAGTGCATGCAGCTCTTCAAAATTTACATTAAAATAATTGCATGGCAGCGCTCTCTAATTCTAATGCTTACCTTTAAGTTAATTGCTTTCAATTCAATGATCGAAGTTTCGGTGCTGCAGTGCTCTAAGCTTTTCCTCTGAAGTTCGTAGTAGCCTTCCTCCCTTGCTGACATCCATGGTAACTGAGATTGCTCAGCAGCCCCCTTGGACAGAGCAACTCGCAGGATAAAGAACTTGTACGGCAAAGTTGTGTGCCATTTAGTTGTAGCACTTGTTGGGCTTGTATAAAGGCCTGTTTTGTATTCAGCTTGACTTAATTTAAAATCAAAAAACTTTTGCACACTGTGAACAAAAGCCTAGGAAAAAGCTCTGAGTTCTAGAACAATCCCTTTTCTTGTGACTGGGGCACAGATCGCTCTGGATCATCCTTGGACTCCCTTCCCTATCAGTAAGTAGCCCTTTTGTTCTTTGTCCAGAGATTTGCACAGATACTAGTTTTCAATCGTTGCTAGTCCTGGGAGACATGAGGAGACAAAGGTACATCCTTAGCTGCTGCTTTCTGTCACTGCACTCTAGTTTGAGACGCTCGATTGGAGGAAGTTGTTGTGCTCTGTTGCAGTTTCATGCTAGGATACTGCGGCAAGTGATTTAAGGTCCATGTGCTATGGAAGGAGGAAAGTAAAACTAAAGATTTCTCTAGAACCACAGTCTCTTTAAACACTGGCACACGAGGGTTGTGTTGTGTAGCATGTGTTTCTCATCCCTTAAAAGACTAGATGCAAAAAAATAAATTGTTTCACAAAGCTGGCTTTCTAGAAGCAGGGAGACTAGTATCGATGGAAGTGGTGTAACTCCAGACTACTGAGTCTCAGGGAAATCAGAATAGCAAAACTGCATTTGTGGTGTGAAGGGAAGGAAGGAGAGCCACATGTAGTCATGTGTGATTAATTTTAATAGTAAAAAGTTTATGGAATGTTATATTTCAACAGTTGTCTTTGCTGTTTATTCAGAGGACTCCAGAGAATATTTTTTAAACCAACTTCCGGAATTTCTTTCTGTAACCTAAAGAAAAAAAAAAAAAAAAAAAAAAAAAAAAAACACAACCAAAACAATCCACTGGAGTTGTACGTGGGAGATTTGGCTTCAAATCCAGATTTTCAATGGGTGTTGGCTTCTCCTGGCTTGTCTCCTGCCGAGTATCAATGGAGGCTTTGCTGGTAGTTACAAAAGTTAGCACTGAGTACTCCTAAACATAAAATCTTCTATTTTGTTGCTGCTTCTCTCACATTTTCAAAGCAGAAGTCAGGGTAGCCCTTTCCTCACCCACTTTCTGGCACAGCTAGATTGTTGCTGCTCCAGAACATCTGGTCTTTTTCTCTAGGCACATTCAGACTCCCTAGCAAACTGTGTCTGCCTGCAGTCGGAGGTCTCCGGGTGCTACTGTAATATGGTCAATGAACCTTTTTTGGTCCACAGAGAGTTCACAGCATAAATCAATAATTGCATACAATCTGAGACTTCTTCAGCTGCTATCTTAAAAAAGATTAAAAATGCTGCTTGTATATATTCATAAATCTAACAAATTTTCATACATTTATTAAAAAAAAAAATAAGGTAGATGAGTATTGATTCTCCCCCATTTAAATAGAGTATAAAATAAATGTAAAACAGAGTATGTTTCATTTCAAAATGTGGGGACAAATTTGGACTTGTCTTTATTCCTAGACCAGTTTACCATGGATGTCAAGTCTATCTTCTTTAATTCTCTTTAATAGTAATCAATCACATTCTCATAGATGAATAACGTGAAGATTTACAGGTAAGAAGTAGTTTCTGGTTTTAATATACCAGCTATAATCCATTTGATTTTTAGACCATCTTTCTCATCGTTTGTAGGCTTGCGTGGGATTGGCAAGTGGTGTGTGCTCTGTAAGTGCAGTGCTCCAGACCGCACAGGCCTCAGCAATCCCACTGTTGTCTCATCTGGAGGGAGACATGTCATATGAACAAGCATCTCTATTTATATTTACAGGTTGAGAAACAATTCTTTTCTTCGCCCTCCCCTTCCCTTTTCTCACAGAGACCTCTACACTCTTTCAGTTTGCAGCTGCCTCCTATTTCCACGTTAACTTACCTTCCTAAACAAAATAGGCCACTGAGGACTGTAAAGACACTTGGGAAAAGAGAACTGTGCAGAATGCTACACCTTAAAATGTACTGTGAAGAAGGTAGCTGAAAGCAGGGGAGATTTCTCAGAGAAACGAAGTAAATTCAATGTTTTGTTCTAGTTGCAAAACATAGACAAGTTAGAAATTGTATTTCCTGCATAGCTTCTGACCTTGCTGATGCCTAAATGTTGCAGACAACTTGCAGACAAAAACCCTCAAGCCACCCCAGGGGGTGGTGGGCACAGAGAGCAAACAGCGTGGGACTTCAGAGCCTGCTGGTGAAGATGCTCCTTGGAGCAAGGAGAGTTGTGTCTTGGGGTCCTGCTCCTACCCATCTGTGCCTCTGACTTGGTCTATGTTCACTTGTCCTCTGGTTGACACTTTTGCTTGAATAATAGTTTTTAAAATAATTGTATGGGTACTTGGGTACATGGTCTTATTTTTTTTTTTTTTTCCTATTGAAGCAATATTAAAAAAGCTTCCTTTTAATAAAGGCAACATATGGACTTTCACTGCTGCAGTTCATCAGGAAAACTGCACCAGTGTAGGTAACTGTACGAAGTCCTTTTTCTAATGTTTTTCTGTTTACTAGCTGTGAAGAGATATTGCCTCCAAAGTTTCAGTCTCATACCTTTATTAGCTTTTAACACCTCTACTGTACTCTTTTGGGCATTGAGTGTTTCTTCGTATGATTAGGGAGAACACAAAAGCTTCCTGACTGCTTTCAGACTGTTAAAGATGTGTAGACACTAGACTGAAAGCAAAAGCAGAGCCTGTGAGAACCTGCAAAGAAAATAGGTAGAAATAATGGTGCTCAGGAAGGGAAGTTGCTGCTTTTCTCTCAATACAAAAATTGTTTGATATCAACATGGAGGGTGAATGTTATTTATGAATGTTTTCGTAGTGCCGGAGGACTTCAGTATCATCAGTGACAACTGTTCCTTCAGAGCGTATGTTCCAAATAATATGGTGTGATTCAAGCAAGTGGTGTTTGCATGAAGAATCCTGATATGTCTAGTGAGTGTGATGTAGACAGTCTGTTTTGCTTATAAATAAATGGAGCGGTGCCTCAGCTGATTTATACTGGCTTAACTCCCTTTGAATTCAGTGGACTTATATTGGGTTTTTGTCTGCTAACCCTGCTCCCACATTCTTTTCACTGTTAGGCTTGCTTCTATCAATTGCAGTATCTTGCACATGACAGAGAACTTGAAATAAATTTTCTCTGTTCCTAATTGCATATGCTTACTGTGGTTCTGGGAGTGATATTTGGAGTAGTAAGTCCAGATTTAAATAACCTGTGTGCTGAAGGCTGCTATTCTCAGAAGGGTGTATGTGTGTGTATAAAGAGCTTGGTTTGCAACAGTTGATTTAATGGATGTTGTTAACGCTTTGTGTATTTAACATTGTGCAAACTCCATTTGGCTGCAGCCTTCTGTGATATTTGCTAACTTCCAATGTGAGACAAAATTCTAAATTTAAAAGCTAATGAGTAAGAAGCACCGACTATCACTTTGCTTCTGTTTACATGGAAGCATACTGGCACAAAAAAAAAAAAAAAAATCCAAAAATAAGTTAATTCAGAATTTGTCTTGTAGAATCTGTGTTTAAATTTCAAGTGTCCTTGGAGTGTTAAAATATCCAAGTCTGCCCATGAGTTGGAAGTCAGGTGAATAGTAAATGCTTAACTGTGGGAGAGTATTTGGGCCAGGGGTGTTAGAACTGATACCGTAGCACAAGGTCCCACTTCCCTGCAGAGGCAGTCAGTCTGTGCCCACAGTGTGGAGCTGAATTAGAAAAAAGGAAAATTCCAAAATATGCATCAGGGAGAATGTGAAATGCCAGGTTAAGTCTGGATCATCTCTGGAGGAATACAGGGCAGGACGTTAGCCTGGCTACTGGTGTGATGCTTGCCCTAGTGCTCCTGAAGATACACTGCTTTGACGTTAGCGTTTAGATTTATGGTTCTTTATTCCTCACTGACTGAGGAGAGAGTTCTTCTGTAGCAACTCCTACCACCACCCACAGAAGCTTTCTGTCAAGCGATGCGCAACTTTAGTAGCTAGAAGACAACACAACCCCCCTCCCCATGCCCCAGAAGCCCCAGTGTTGAAACCTGTCTTGCCAAAGACGTATGTCACTGGGGTGCTGCACACAAATCTTACTCTACCAAAAAATGCTGTTCCTCCCACCTCAAGGCTGCCATGTGACTCATTATTTGAAGAACAATTTTACATCGCTGTATCCAAGCAAACATAAAGGGAAACATCTTAATATCTTGTAATACTTGTTTGTCATCAGTTATGAGAGTGAATAAATGGGCGTGTTAAGCTAATAAGAGAGAGCAGCTACCCTGCAGCATTATAAGTGCTGCTCTGTTGCCTTAAAGATGTCGTGCAGGTCCTCCTGTGGCGAGCCCTGCCAACACCATTGTTACTTACGCAATATTTGTTGCTTTCCACCCAGTCTCTTGGGTATTCTGCTCATCACAGGAAATGTCTGAAAATGCTGTATATTCACTGACAAATACTCATGGTTTGGTTTAGAGGCTGAGCCAACTGCTGCTAAAAATACATTCCTTTCTTCCAAGGAGAGAGAGCTAGAGCTGCTGCTCTTTCCTTTTCAGAAGCTCCTCCACCCTTCCACACTGCTTGCAGTCATTCTAACCTCTCCTTTGTTGTTTAGGTGTGGTGTGTGGGCAGCTTTATATTGTTTGGTTAATGCACTGAATGCTCATTTACTAATGCCTGCTGTTTGTCTGTGTATAGTGGTTTTTCTAACTCAGCATGTACAAAGCTGTTTGAGGTAGTAAAATCAGAGCCATGAATGCCTCCACATAGGGAACTGCAGAAGAGGAACTTAATGCAAGCAATTTTTAGATACAGTGATGCGTTGTCCAACACCAGCAAGCTTTCTAAATACAAGGGGCTGTTTTTATTTTGGAGTTAAAAGGTCTAGGTATACAAAGTAATTTCCTAGGGAGTGGTTTTACAAGGAATTAACCTCTGCCAGTGAGGGTTGCTCGTGTACTTACTGTGATGACTGAGCCAGTTTTCCCAATACAAATTCACAGATAAGAGTTTCTATTCTCTATCATCTACCTATTCTAGACACATTCTGTTGGGGTCCAACCCTTTTGGGCTGTATCTACTTCCTCACACTATTCCAAAGGTCATTAAGAGATAATCAGATCTGAATTACTATGGGGCAGGAGCAGCTGTATCCGGCATAGGTTCAATTTTACACACTCCTAGTAAATAGTCTGTCAAAACCATGCTAGTGAATAAATTATATTTTCCAAGTTAGATGATAGGCTTGCCCACAAACAGAGGGAGATTACAGCATTCTGTTTCCCTCGCAGTGACAACTTAAAAGGTTACAATCACCCCAAATTGTTGCACTAGAGGACCCACCGGGGGGGCATTCAGAGCTTCAAGGTCAGAACCAGCTATAAAAGTACACTCCCTCACCATCAAGTTCTGACAAAATTCCCACTTACCTTTCCTACTGCTGGTGAGGGATGGTGATTCCTGATGGTTTGGGAGCGATTCAAAGACTGAGCTATTCCAGTGAAGGCTGTGTTGGCACAGGGATGGCAGATCACCCTGAAAACCTGGCTGTGGGCAGAAGCGAGCCCAGGGAGGCTCCCCTGGCTGCTGCAGCTGGCTAACGCCACTGATACGAGCCAGCCTCCCCCAGCCCGCATTAGAGGGTAGAAAGCTGTCGTCCCCTGCCTCTCCGGGAGCTCACCTCCTCTTCACTTCTGAACTAGGTATCTCGAGGCTCTTGGCTGCAGTACTGCTATGTGCGGCCAGAGACTTTTATCGCAAATAGCCCGTTTTTCTGCTCGTTAGGCAGATGAACCGCACGAGTTCCCAGCAGCAGAGGGCAGCAATATAACCTCTGCCAAAGAGTCCATTTTCGTGCCTTATGAAATACAAACCTCTTCACATGCTCATTCAGTTTGTTTACATTGTTGTTCAAATATGAAGGAGCTGTTCATTCTTTCCTCCTTCCCTCTCTGTGGCTCAATGCACTGGCTTTCATGTGATTATAAATTTCTGATACTGCAGATGGAGCACAAGACGTTGATGACTCTCTGGCTTCTCTTGCTGGGCTTCGGAACGGATGCTGTGGCTGGCAACACACCGCCACTGCTGCTCCTCTTGTTTCTAACTGATTTTTTCATAGTAACTTGAGTATACGCTGTAGACTTTTTTGCTTGGACAGGTTACAGAGGAACGAATCGCCTGAATCCGGCTACAGTGGCAACAAGTTTTGTTTCCCTAAGTTCTCGGTATTCCTTTCTCCGAAACCTCAGTTCCGACACTCCCTGTATCCAAATGGATTCCTCTTCGTCCTAACTGCGAGGAGCTGGGGTTGTTTTATTTACGGGTAACCGCTGAGCTGCAGGCCGCCTTCCTGCTCTCGGGGCAAAGGCACGTTAAGGAGCTTGCCCGCATTCTGGCGCGGATCGCTGGGGCCCCCGGTGCGTGTGAAGGCTTCCCCGGGGTTCGTCGCCCATCTCCTGCCCTTCGGTGACTCTCACAGCTCCAGGTCCCCCAGGACGCGGGGGTTGTGAGGAACTCGGCTTTTTTTTTCTCTTCCACGGCGTTTTACTCCGCTGGGAACAGCGGAGTTGCCGGTGCTCCCCTGCGGCCTCGGCCACCCGCCGGCCTGGGCCCTCACAGGGCGGGCGGGACGGCGGCGCCGGCCGCGGCCCGGGTTACATAACGCCGCCCGCCGGGCCGGGGAGGGCGGGCCCCTCCCCTCAGCGCCCGGAGCGGCGGGGCCGGGGCCGGGCGGCCCCGCTCGAGGGTGGGTGGGCGAGGGAGCGAGCGAAGGGAGCGGCCGCGGCGCGGCGGCGGGAAGAGGCACCGCGGCCGGCGGTGAGTGGGGCGCCGGCCGGCGGGAAGGGCCCTGCGGCGCTGCCGGGGGCCTGCTGCCGTCGCTCGGGGAGCTGAGGGAGGCGGGCGGGGGGAAAAGGGTAGTAACGGGGAGGCGGCGGCGCGCTGCGACTCCGGTGTCCCGTCCCGGCGGGGAGGCTCAGCTCACTGACAGCCCTCCCGGCGCCCACACCCGCCTCCTGTAGCCCCTCAGCCCCGGGGATCGGCGAGGCGGGCCGAAACGCCGCTAAGGCAGCGGGCGCCCGGTTCTCCCCGCTCGGCCCCGGTGCCGTGTCCCGTCCCCGGCCCGGTCCCCCGGCGCTGGCCGCCCCCCGTCCCCCCCCCCCCCCGTGTAACGGTTGCAGCAGCCGGAGCCGCAGAGCGGGAGCGGGGGCAGGGCTTGTCCCTGCGTAGTAGGAGAGCTCCCTGCGTGCTGCTGATAGATATGCAAACGTAGGCGCACTAACTGCAGCATAACCCCCCCCACACACCTCTAAATAACATCAGCTAAACCTGCTATTTAACTTCTTATTTAAAAATCGCATCTGCGAACGGGTACCGGGTCCGGTGGAAGGGTTTCAGCTGCGTTCTGCAACTTTTTCCTTCCCAGATGTCAGTCTCTTGCCAAAGCCAGTTGCTCGGCGTTACTGTCAAATTTCTTCATCGCTCGGCCCCCACTGCCAGGACTCTGCTGCAGTTCGCGAGCTCCTTGTCGTCCTCCCCCAGCCTCTCTCCCCCCTTCAAATCTATTAAATATATCCTAGCTCGGCTCTGATTCCCCTTAAGCAGGTCTGACCTTGCCTCCCTCTTTCTTCCTAAACAGTTACAAATTTACCAGTTTTTCTACCATGAGAGCGGCAACCCTCATGTTTAGATTCTGTAGGACTTCCCTATGTAAACACCCCCACCCCAATGTGTAGCAAGGCTTCTGTTTCTCATTCTCTTCTTTCTGCCGTCTCTTTCATTCCCAAATCCTTATTGGTTTGACCTGCATGAATTTAGGTCTTTGTCCGGGCAAGCTTTATTCCTAGAAATAGCTCTACCCAAATCGGCTAACAGACTGAAATCTGCAGGAATTGTGGATGTTTATGATGATTAATTGTGAAAGTGATGGCTGCAAGACACTGCTTTCTTTTGCAAGTTCATCAGAGCAGGATGCCTGCCGCCTTCTTTTGCCTCAAATCTAAGCCTGGCTATCTTAAATCATTCATGAAAATGGCTATCACCATGCTACTCTTACCAGCTCCTTGCAGCTACTTTTGGATGTTTCTTTTAAGCCCTTGGCATGCTGCGTGCCCTTTGAAAATCTTTGTACACAGCGGTTGTTTTCTAGGGAAAGAATTTTAAAAATGCAACAAAACTTTAAAAGCTGATTGGTTGCTTTCAAGCCTTCTCCTTCTTTTTCTAAAAGTGTCTCAAAACTGTGGGTTGTTGAAATGCACATCAGCTCGGCACAGCCACCATGGTTGCCAAGTGTGTGAGCCAGTTGGATCTCAAGGAAATGTAACTTGTTCTAGTCAGTCCCGTGGTGACTTTTATTTCAACAAGATGCAAACATCTTTTGGTGAGTCATGGGGCATTGTTCCCTGCAAACTAGCTGTCAGGAAGTAGAGTCTGACAAAGCTGATGGTCTCTCTATAAAAACAGTTTTCCCCTACACACAGTGCTGTTTTCGCCTTCGTTCTCCATGAATCATCCATCCCAGAGTCCTCTCAAATCCACAAGGAAGGCAGAATGAGTTACCATTCAGGGTTGTGGTGGTACTCTTGTGCTTGTTTCTCTTGTATTCCTTCTTCTGATAGTTTCAGTTCTTTCCTTCAGCCATGTATTTCACTGCTCCTCCTTTCCCTCCCATCCTGGTCAAGACTTTTACCGTGCTTCCAAATCTGTTCCTGGTGCACATGTCTTCTGTGTGGACTTCGTGCACTGACCTCACTGAAAAGGGTGTCTAGCTTTTCCTCTTGTGTAGGCCATTTTTCTGTGCCCTTCCAGTTATCTTGGCTCCCAAATCATCCTGGGAACCTCTGTGTACACTAGTGGATGCTCAGCCTCAGGATGTGGCTGTACCTGCCTGACTTTGAAGAGCAATGACACTGCCTGAGAGGATGCTCCAAACCTAGCACCCGTATCACAGCTTCAAAAAGATAACTAGCCTTAATCTTTTAGCATAGTTTCTGTTGGAAACAAGGCTTATGCCAGCCCTTAATATGTTACGCCCATGCATCTCGAGATTTATCCCTTAAATAGTAGCCATTTCCCAGTTTCAACTGAGTGTGACATGAGGATAACAGCTCCAAGGTAGTTAAGTTCCTGCAAATTTTGTAGAAACAGACCAACGGGGAAAAGGAAGGCTAGACCCAGACACCTGCCAATTTTCGCCAGTTTTTACCTTAGTGACTGATACATCCGTATGTGACAGCCTCCATTTGGCAATAAGATATTTGGTAAAAATGAGGTTACAAAGAGAAAAGGAGAAGGATTTTCTGGGTGAATGCCCCTGAACTGGCATCTCCCTCAAAACTTCAAAGAAGATAAATAACTCTGATTTGATACATTGCATTTTGAACATGGAAACAGAAAACCTCCGTACGATTCAGCGTAAACATTTAATCAACCAAGGAACACAATTCTGTAGGAGATCTGATTTCCTGAGTTGTGCTGGTCACAAAGCGCTTTGTTTTTACGTCTCTGCATCTCCAGGGCACAGCTCCTGTCTTTGTTCAGCCAGGCACACATTTGCGCGAGTACATCAAGTACAGAAGGGCTGTGAGCTCAGCTCGTGCCTTTAGATCTGTTTTAATTTGGCAAAATTGGCCGCCGGTTTCAAGACTTCTTAGACGTCATCATATAAGCGTAATTCCCTTGAAACCAAGCAAAAGAGATGATCGCTCATCCTGACTCAGAATAATGTATTCCTTGATGTAGCTGGTAGGGCAAATCCCAGATTGTTTGTAGCAATGACAAGATACTGGATTGTTGTTTTGGTTTGGTTGTTTTTTTAACTGTTAGTCCTTGTCAGCTGTAGATGGGGTTTCGTGGCACAGCCATGACCTGTCCTGGCAAACTTGTTCTACCATATATCCAGGCGTGATGGTGTCCTTAGAAGGGGTTCCTTTACAACTGCATTGTACATGCCCACTGGGGGATTGCGGGCTATGTGTGAATCCTGGCAATTCAGGCGTGTGAAAGGAAAAAGCCACATGGTAACAGGAAAAACTCTTGAGCTTCAGGGATGTTAACGGAGGGTGTAACTGGCAAGGGAGTTTTTTACTTGGCACGGTTATATGAAGGCGAAGGTATTCGGGCACCTGAGATCAACAGGAATAAATACCAGGTTCCTAAACACCTCTTTGACTCTGGCTAAGAACTTCCCTACTGTCTCTGGAGTGTAGACAGGGGCATACTTTTATTCTTTAAGAAAAGTATCTCTTAAGGTAGTGCTTGCTGATGGTCAGGCTTCATTTAACTGTAATTTTGTGAAATTAAAAAGCACAAAGCAGGTGTTCAGGGTCTTGTTTGATCGTGCAGGTCTGCTCTGCAAACGACCAATTGGTAGGATTTGTGCCTTTAGTTAATATTGATTAAATAAGAGTTCTCTGAAATGACACAAGAAAAACCGAAAAGTGTTTAAAATTCAGTGTTTAAACTTCAAAACTCAGCCTGATATTGATTAGTGATAGGCTTCAAACTGCACTTCCTTGACTTTTGCTAAAGTTTTGGTCCGAAACGTAATTCCATTGCCTGTAGCTGCTATTGGCATATGCATTTAGGAATTTAGAATTTTCTTACAACAATTCTTCCATGACTAGCTGCAGTATTGTCAGCATCAGCTTAAATAAAATTTTGTTCTTTTGTTTGAAAATTTACTTTTCTTGTCTGTTCTCTAGTGTTTGACTGCTTAGGGCATAACAGAGTTTTAAGGAAAGAGAATCTTTTTAAATGAAAGTGGAGATCCTGACATTACGATCTCTCCTTACGCACCCTTCTCCAGAGCTGGAGTTTCAAGTTGGTCCTTGCTTTCCATGGGCATTGATGACTCTGCAACATCCTGACTTGCCACGGGATGAAGGCAGGGCAAGCAGTAAACAGGCTGATTGTCAGACGTTGCTGTTGGATTCAGTGCTGCCTAGACTCACAGCAGCGTGAACTGTTGCTTATCGTGATATGTCTCTGTATTCCTAATAAATGGAACCGGAGGATGCTACTGCCTGTATCACAAAAAAATGACTCAGAGTTGTGAGCCCGGGGATATTTAACTTCAGCTATCTGAAGTGGCCCCACCTCAATGTTGAGATAAAGCTGGTAGGTCTGACAGGCGTTCTCATTGACACCACATGTCAGGTTAATAAGCAATCTTTGATGTCTCTGTCTGTCTGTGCACACAGTTTAATTGTATTCCAAGGAAAAATGAATTGATTTTAAAGATGATGTGGACTCATTTGTTTCGCTTTGGCAGAATTGACTTTCATGGCTCTGTTGATACAGGCATCTTTTCTATGTTAAACAGAAGATATGGGCTTGATCTGAAGTCCTTCATATCAAGGGATTTCAAGGGAATTTCTGCTTTGACTGTAAAAGGCTGAGGATTAAGTGGCAGTCTCAGCCTTGGGATCTCACTGAACAGATGCATGAAATAACATACTGGAAGAAACTGAAGGAGATAGCAAGAAACAAGGAGAACCATTAGATTGTAATTTGCTTGGAATTCAGATATCAAGCTGTGGCTTGCTTGTTTTGTTCTTGATTAGTGTTTGTTTAGTGGTATTAAAAGATGAAATAACTGTTGTTACCGTTGTGCTAGGCAGAAAGCCTTTTCAGAAATGTGCCAGTAA